TTTTGTTTAATAAAAAAATATTTATTTAAAATTTAAAATTTTGAACATTTATATAAAAAAAATTATTAAAATCAAATTATTAATATAATAAAATTGTTACTGATTTTTGGATTTTAAATTTTTAGAAATTTAATTTTTTAATAATAAAATGTTAATATTTTAATTATTATATAATTTTGTTTAATAAAAAAATATTTATTTAAAAGCTTAAGTTTTGGACATTCATATAAAAAAATTTTTATTAAAATTAAATTATTAATTGTTTAAAAAATTATTTAATAAAATTGTTATTGATTTTCAGATTTAAATTTTTAAAAATTTAATTTTTTAATAATAAATTAAAATATTAATATCTTAATTATTATATAATTTTGTTTAATAAAAGAGTATTTATTTAAAAGCTTGGATTTTAAATGTTCATATAAAAAAAATATTTATTAAAATCAAATCATTAGTTATTAAGAAAATTATGTAATAAAATTGATACTGATTTTTGGATTTCAAATTTTCAAAGATTTAATTTTTTAATAATAAATTAAAATACCAATATTTTTATTATTATATAATTTTGTTTGATAAAATAGTATTTATTTTTTTTTGGGGGGGCTAAGTGTGATATATGCACGGCTTTTATTAATCAATTACAGATTATAGTCATTATATGAACAGTCTATTTAACTGACGCTACCCACCTATTTCTGTCCGAGTACCAACTTTACATCTCGTGGGTGAGTCCATACTTGCGGTTGAAGGTCAATTCTCACCAGGCACATGTTAATCTTCTGTAAGTTATTTTGTCAATCACATTGGTTTGGATTAAAATAGTATTTATTTAAAAGCTTAGGTTTTGAGTTTTTATATAAAAAAAAGTTTATTAAAATCAAATTATTAGTTGTTTAAAAAATTATATAATAAAATTGTTATTAATTTTTAGATTTAAAAATTATAAATATTCTTTTATATCTTATTTTGAAATTTCAATATTTATTATACTTTTTTTAAATCTTAAAAAAAACCTTTCTTTTTTATTAAATTTCATAATCCTTATTTTTTATCTTTTAATTCTTATTCAAAATCATAAAAAATTTTTATTATCTCAATTTTATATAATACTACTTCACAATTATTTGATAATTAATCAGAACAATTATACAATTATTTTGCAAATAATTCTTATATTGAAAAAATTTTTTTTTTCCAATTTCCAAAATAATTTAAAAACTATACAAATTCTTCATAATATTAAAACCATATATAACTCTGTTTCTACAAAATATAAATTTAATATTTTATTATTAATTGTTAGTTTATGACAGATTTAATTAAAAAATATTGGTTTTAGTTTTAGCAATAAATAATTTTTTACTGCTTTTAAAAAATCCAATAATAATTCTTTTAATTTAAATGATTATTAAAAACATATTTCTACTTCAAAACTTAAAATCAATAAAAAAATATTTGAATTTATTATTGATTTTTTTTTACAAAATTCAAGATTATCAACTTATTTTTGTCAACTTATAAAACTTCAATTTTTTTTAGAAAATACCAATCTTTATTTTAATTCTTTTTTAATATATTATTTAAAAAAACAAAAAAAAACAAATTATAATAAATTAAAATCACAAAATCTAAATCTAAAATTAAGTCTTAGTAAATTTTATAAATTTTGTTCTAAAAATTTCAAAAAAGCACAAAAAAAACTTATATATATTCAATTGTATTGAAAAAAAAAATTCAAAAAAAAATTATAATAAACCATTTCAAATAATATTTCTTTTATTACTTACTTACAAAATGAAATTAATTTTTATAATAAACATTTATATTTAAAAATTAATAACAAAAGCTTTATAAAAACTCTTTTGAATTAGTAACTATAACATTTTGTGTTATAATTATAGATTTTAAAGAAAATTTTAAATTAGTAATAATTTAATTAAAACTAAAAAAGATTTTTATGAAAAATCACAAATTTTTTTATTAATATTTGTAATTTTTTATAAAGATAATAAAAATATAATTCAAATATAATATTTTGATTTTTTTTTTAAAATTTTAAATTATAACTTATTTTTTATTATTAATTGTATCAAAAAACTTCTTGCCAAATCTTTTATGACACAATTTAATAAAATTTGTTTTTGGTTTAATTTTGGATTATATTTTCATTCAGCAGAATTAATACATTTTATTTTTAATTATTTACTATTCATTTATAATAAAAATATTATTGATGCATTTTGATATATTATTAAAATTATTTAAAAAAGGTGAATCAATACTATATATTTATATCATTAAAGAATTAATTAATTATTTTAAAAACAAAACATAAAATTATTATATTATTATTATTATTTTTTTTTATTCCTAATCAGGCTACAAGCCACTATATTTATTAATCTTTTTATTCAAAATATATTAATATAATTTGTATTATACTAAATATCTTATAAGTTGTAGCACACTTGTTAGTAAGTCTAATAAATTTATATATGATTCTTGAATCCTTAATACCAAGACCATACATGTGATTATATTACTATAAAAGGAAATTTGATCGACAATACAATTCTGAATTAAATATAATTCCAATTAATTACTATATGTTACTTAGTAATTCTATCATAATATGGTTTTTGAAAAATAATTGAATTTAATTTCACCATATGTATAATCAAAACTATCATGTTATCCACATGATCTAGCTATTTATTAACTAACAAAATATAAAATTATAATAATTACTCTTTTGAAATTTATTTATTTTTATTTATTTTTTTTTATAGATGAATATATAATGATGTAGATCTTTATTGATACTTGTATAAATCAAAATATATCAAATATCTTTTATAATTAAAACAATTACTAATATATATTGATTGTATCTAATGACAGTTCTAATTGTAACTAATACTGCTCTGTTTTGGGAAACAGTTTACTATTTATCTTAAATCCAACTATAAGAATTGTATATCAAAGGTGGATCCAACATATTAAGTGGATTTCTATAAGGGGAAAATGTCTATCATTAGTTTAAACCACCTAATCTATAATCTATTTTCTGAGAGTTAATGTCTATTCTATAAAGGTTTGATTATCGAATTTTTGGATACCTCGATACTTTTTGTTTTGATCCTTGAAGAGGATATTTGCTCCTTATCATCACCTGTGGCTTCAGTAGATTCTTTTCAGGGAATCAACTTCCTTTAAGCAAATGTTGAATTGGAATAGCTCCAAATTAGAAAATTCTAGAAAGAGTTGAGACAAGACTTATTAGGTATAATATATACAAGGGAACCTACACAATCTATATATGAAATGACTTTACGATGATCATTATACACTAACCAGATAATCATTATACTATAACACCTTAATTGAAAATCACAATCTTAATGCCTACTGGATTGGTATGTGAAATGATTTCTTATGAGAAACAGCATATAATTGATTATGATGTCAGATACTATATTAATTCTATTCAACTATTTTCATATAGAATTGAACTGATATTTTGTGATTTGACCTGCAGAGCACTAACCACTGTGCTATGGATCCATAGGTTCCTTTGAAATTTATTTATATACTAAATCAAAAAAAATTTATTAATAAATTAATAATAAATAACTTTTTGTTTATATTTAGTATTACAAAATTTAATAAATTATATGTTTCTATACATAATATATTTAATACAGTATTATTGATTATAAGAAAATATTATTTAAAATTAAAAAAATAAAAAATAAGAAAAACAAAATATAATATATCTAAAGAAAAAACAAATAATATTTCATCAATAATAGAAGATAAAAATAAACAAAGATTACTAATTAGAATAAAAAACATATCTAATTATCTTATTCCAATAGAATTTTAAATTTTTTTTTGAATATATACTTGGAATTAATTTTTAATTTTTTAAAAAAAATAATATATATTATTAGAAAGCTTGCAATCTAAAAAATCCAATAGTAATAAAATTACAAAATTTTAATTATGATTGTTAAAATATTATTATTTAAATTTTAATATTTTTTTAAATTTTTATAGATCAATATCTTTATTAATATTAATTCAAATTGGATAAAAATATTGTAATTTAATAATCAAGATTTTGAATTCTTAATATCTAAATTTTTTTAATTTTAATTATTAATTATCAAGATAATTTGATTTAAAATTTAAAATTAATTTCAAACACATATATAATAATATAAGATAGAACCCAAAGTATAGGTAATAATTATATATGACCTTGGATTCAACTATTTTTCTTTATTTTATATTATTATTTATTTATTATTATTTTATATTATTTTTAATTAAAATATTTATTATTATTAAAAAATAAAAAAATAAAAATTATTATATAATAGGTTATATATTATATAATTTTGAATTTATAAATTTTAAGGTAATAAATTTATATCCTGAAAGTTTTTGATTCACCTTCAAAAATAATTACTCATATTTTTTTCTAAGTTCACTAATTTCAACTATAAGTTTGGAATTCTGTTCTAATAAATCGATTATAATATGCGGAAATATTCAAAAGTCAATTTATAAAAAATATATAGTGCGTGCCTTTTTTTGACTTTTGGTCACGCGGTTTTTCCGAAATCAGCTTCCTATACCCGATAGAATACATATACTGTAACTCATAATCCAGCATCGCATTTTTAATCAACCGTGATGTAGCCTGTGATGGGCCGTGATCGCATGCAAATATATAGAAAAATCATTATTTTGATCGAGCCCATGATTGAACCTCATATAATGACAATAATAATTTGGAATGAATAAACTTGAAATCGATCAAAGAATCAACGATTAACCGCCAAATATATTAAATCTGTAAAAATCCAATGATTGGGTAAATTAGAGTGAATACCTAACCAAATAGAAACCTAAATATCGTATAATCTTAAATTTGAAGGATAACGGATCAATTAATCAGAAGAATTGCATTGTTGATGTTACATAACAGTCTACTTCAACTTTCTCTTTTGCTGTGCTTTTTTTCTCTGAGCTCCTTTTCTCTGGACACTTTTTCTTTTCTTCGACTTCGGGGTCTTAAAACAATCAGCAAAAAATTTAACTGAAGATGCAGGTGGCGGTGTAGAATATCGTCCAACTCCTCTTAATTCGTCTTCCAAATTAACATTAGCATTGTCATTCCGAATATTCAGAATTTGTAGGTTGTCCTTTATGATAATCTGTGAAAACGATTAGGAAGTTGAAGAAAACGAAATCATAATAATAAGCTTTATTCTTACTTTGTGCTGATATATCGCTACTAGTTTGAGGTAAGATCTTATTCCCTCTTCTGAGAACTTGCTATCTACATTGAAAGATAGGGGATCTTTGCGAAAAATGCAAATTGACCCACCAGCACGCCATAATCTTGCAAATTGGATCCACAACCCAAGATGTAAGATGCCGAACACCTGAAGTTTGTCTGATTTTTGATCCTCATAATTTGCAGCTCTCAACAACTCAGCATACATGTCTCGAAGAGTTTTTGGCATCTTGAATGTCTCGAGAAGGTATTTCCGGTCTGAAACTCCAGAGAAGGATCTTGCCCCCTCGATTGCCCCGAATTCAAAAAGTCTGTCAACTGTATATATTATCCCGTCAATTTTACGACCGGTGAGCTTTCTTGTACGTGTATTTGCTTGCCGGCCACGATTTTTTCTGTTGGCACTGCTCAATGATGGTACGTCGGTTCTATAAAAAGTGATAAATAAGCAAAATTTATGATAATTTATTGTTTATATTA